AAGAAAAATCATGAAAAGAATGGGAAAAAAAATACAGTAATTTATATTTTCAGCTTTTCTATTTGGAATTTTGACACATTTATGGAAAAACACTAAAATTTACCCATGGAGAATTTGATCAAATGATGATAATAAGTATGAGTATATAAAATCCAGTGGACACAGTATTATGAAGGTTGTACATAGGCTAGTCATTTAAATCAGATTATGATCCCGAGCTCCAGTGTTTATATTGTATTTAAATGACACACGCTTTGTACAGATAATATATGTCTTATTATGAATCTTGCCTGCTACGTGTTTAGAGGTTAGAGTTGAATCACTCCTACAAACGTACACGATAAAGGCTGTCATCACGTGTCAGATACCATCATCATACAAAGCACTGAAGAGTTCCTATTGTTGTGTAATTTTACAATTAAAGGTGCATTAATGTGTAAGTTATGTCCCCTTATCACATACACATGTTGTAATATAATGCAGAAATTATAGAAATGAGTCATAGGTAAGGAATGCAACAAACATCCCGAAACCTTGTTCCTTGCCCATAAATATATACTGTACACCTGTATATATATATATATGTGTGTGTACCTGGCTTAATCCGCTGACATTTACATTTAAAAAGAAAATATCTATATTGTGATGTTTAAAGTTGTGAGAATATCATTTTATGGTTACAATTAGATAAAAATCTGTTATTAAAGGTCTTTGAACAAAAGACGATGAAAAACATTCAATTTCAGTATTATAACTGGTAAGTATGCTTAATATATAATAGCTTATATAGACAGTGTTTACGTTGTCTGATTATCGACACATCTACATGTACAATGTTAAATAGCTAGCTGGATCGTATAGAGGTTAGAGGTGCGTGGGATTACAGGTGTGACAATACAATATAATATGATCGGCATTACTGATGGTCGTATACTGATACGATAGTTTCTCAAAACCGGTTCTGTTTCATATATTTATATGGTATGTTTCTCAATATTTTTTACATGAAAAATATGAATTTCACAAAAAACTGAATTTATATAAATTTACATCAGCTGACTTATCTAAGGGCCTTCTAAAGTACACACATCTCTATATTTACACGAGTCTGTGTGACCTGTCTTTATCCACCGTCACTGAAGTTCTGAACTCATAAATGAGTTAATGGGTTTCTGCTGAGTTTCTGTGTTTTTAAGCATTAATGATAAGTAGTTCCTATTTTAACTCATTAAATAACAACTTCTTCTTTTTAACCACTGATTGGAATTTAACTAAATTTGGCTGGAAGCATCCCTAGGTGGTGGAGATTGAAAATTGTACAAATGGTGGGGCTGACCCTCCAGGGGGCTGAGGGATGGGGAAAAAAGGGGGCAATTTGGCTATATTGCTTTAAGCGACTTTTTATCTGGAACTAAAAGATGGATATCGACCACATTTGACTGGAAGCATCCCTAGGTGGTGGAGATTCAAAATTGTACAAATGGTGGGGCTGACCCCCCCAGGGGGCTAAGGGGAGGGGCAAAAAAGTGTTATTTGGCTATATTATTTTAACGACTTCTTCTCTGGAACTAAAAGATGGATATCGACCACATTTGACTGGAAGCATCCCTAGGTGGTGGAGATTCAAAATTGTACAAATAGTGGGGCTGACCCCCCCAGGGGGCTAAGGGGAGGGGCAAAAAAGTGTTATTTGGCTATATTACTTTAAACGACTTCTTCTCTGGAACTAGGAGATGGATATCACAACCATATTTGACTGGAAGCATCCCTAGGTGGTGGGGAGTCAGAATTGTACAAAATGGTGGGGCTGACCCCCCAGGGGGCTGAGGGTGGGGCCAAAAAAGTTCATTACTTGGAAATTGTTGAGATCCCCACCATATAACCATATATACAATTGCTGAGTATAAAGAGAAGAATGCACATTTGCTTCCAGGATGGCCCTAGGGTCTGGCCCCACCCTTGGAGACATAGTCCCTGGGCCATAACTTTAAAATGGTTGAGATCCCCACCCTAAAACTATATATACAAATACTGGGCATAAAGAGACTAATGCAGTCATGATATCAGAACAGACCCTGGGGTCTGACCACAACCCTAGGGACCTAGTTTCTGAGTCACAGCTTGGAAACAGTTGAGATCCCCATCCCATAACCATACATAAAATTGCTGAGCATGTAAAATCTAATACAGATATGCTACAAGGACTGGCCTTGGGGTCTGGCATATTCCCTTGGATCTCATTTGGAGGTTATTTTTGCCATGTAATGATTGCTTAGGTATCCAGGTGAGCGATGCAGGCCCTCTGGGCCTCTTGTTTTATGGTTGTTTTATTGAAAAAAAAATCTCCTCCCATAATGGGCTGGTTTGTGTGTAAGGAATGAGTTACTTATATATAACTAGCTGGCCATCATCTCTGGGATCTTGACAAACTATAAGTGGAAGAATTCTGCTTTAAAATTCTTTACTAAAAACTTAAGGAGTTTTGTTAATAGACAATCTTAGGACTGGTCTTCTATGGGAGTTAGCAGCATTTCTCTTGCTTCGACATGTATAATCAATCCACGACTGTGCATGTTACCTTTTCTGTTATTAAGTGAGCTGTATAATTACCATGAAAGGAGGTGGTGGTTCAATAAAAATACAGCAACACATTGTGAGTGTAAATTAAGTCTGAACATATTTTTGAGTTTTCTAGCAGATCTTTCTAAAAATACCCTTCTCTGATGATGTTTAACTCTTGCACCCCTATGTTACTTTAATAAACTCTTCCATGCTTTGATCTGGATGAGTCCGTTATGGTCTACAGTGGTGAAAGGGTTAGGGAAAGTTCCACACTTCTTGCATGCCGGAAAAATATAGGCTATATGCATAGTGGGACACCTTGATTATATGTAAGATAACCCCCCTGATAGACAGGTGCACCCAGTGATCTCCGGTATAGGAACTACACCTTCTAAACCTGACTTATATACCTGGCTGACTCTCTGAAACATGATGGCTTTTCAATGTAAAACATTACAGTATTAAATTGTCGTTTTGATCATCAGAAGAATATCTATCACCAAAACACATTTGGCAACTGAAAGCACCTCATGACCATAAAAATTGATTAACCAAACTTACTTAAGATTTTGAATACTGCTTTAAGTTTTAACCCTTCTTATACCTGATTTTTTTTCTTTTTTCTGAATACGTTCTTATCTAGAATATCTACTACATGTGTATATTGGTTGTTGCAAGCACAATGTCTGTATTGAATTTCACCAAAATCACAGGTGAGCAAGAGAGAAAAGTAGACCTGTTAGTGTGTAGGTAATGCAGGGGGGATAAGGAAGTTCCTACCCCCATACAAATATTTCATCAACCTCGATATCCATGGGTAACGCTCACTTTCGCTCTTTACACCCCTGGAATATGTCATTGCAAAATTGAAGGTATGAAGATAGCTGTTTGATTGGTCTCGGGTAAAAAAAAAATGACCAATCGCTAGGCTGAGGGCTGTCCTTTTGAAGATTTCAAAGGAGAGACACCCGACTTCAAAGTCTCTCAATTTTTACTGTTACAGTGACCACAATATTCTTTTGATGTTTATCAAAGGATCAAACTGGTCTTCTTTTCTCATCAACAAGGTCGCGCACACCAAGCCCTCAATTTTGCTATGACATATTCCAGTGGTGTACTCTGAGATCGAGCCAAAGTGAGCATAGCCCCTGGATATCGAGGATAACATTTCATAGTACTCCTCATATAAAAACTGCTGACAGCTCCAACATATGTAAAAATTGCTTTTATAATAACAGCAATGAAAAATAAACCCCTATCTACTTTCTAAAATACAAAACCTGCAATGTAACTTAAAGTAAAAGAAACGTATGACAAGCTTGGCCTTTATGTAAATATGTATAATGCATACATTTGTCTATGGTATTTGGTAGCATTACATACCTTTGTCTATGGTATTTGGTAGCATTACATACATTTGTCTGGTATTTGGTAGCATTACATACATTTGTCTACGGTATTTGGTAGCATTACTTACATTTGTCTATGATATTTGGTAGCATTACATACAATTGTCTATGGTATTTGGTAGCATTACATACATTTGTCTATGGTATTTGTTAGCATTACATACAATTGTCTATGGTATTTGTTAGCATTACATACATTTGTCTATGGTATTTGGTAGTATAGACAAATGTATGTAATGCTACCAGATATCATAGACAAATGTATATAATGCTACCTAATACGATAGACAAATGTATGTGATGCTACCAAATACAAAAGACATATGTATGTAATCCTACCAAATACCATATACAATTGTATGTAATGCTCTCAAATGCCATAGACAAATGTATTTGGTAGCATTCAATACATTTGTCTATGGGATTTGTTAGCATTACATAAATTTGTCTATGGTCTTTGGTAGCATTACATTCATTTGTCTATGGTGTTTGGTAGCATTATATACATTTGTCTATGGGATTTGGTAGCATTACATGAATTTGTCTATGGTATCAGGTAGCATTACATACCTTTGTCTATGGTATTCGTTAGCATTACATACATCTGTCTACGGTATTTGGGAGCATTACATACATTTGTCTATGGTATTTGTTAGCATTACATACATTTGTCTATGGTATTTGGTAGCATTATATACATACATTTGTCTATGGTATCTGGTAGCATTACATACATTTGTCTATGGTATCTGGTAGCATTACATACATTTGTCTATGGTATTTGGTTGCATTACATACATTTGTCTACAGTATTTGGTAGCATTACATACATTTGTCTATGGTATTTGGTAGCATTTGCATTTGGCTTTCAGATATATACTCCACCAGAATATAAAAAACATCAGCAGTCCTGTAAGCAATAAGCGTGTGATGGGACACAAATGATGTTGATCTTAAGAATAACATGATGTGGTTCAAATCTGAGTTTGTATGAAAGTTTGTTTGAATGTTCGTATTTAATTGTTTCAGGGGTAAGTTTGCTGTGGTGAAACGCTGTGTCAACAAAGAAAATGGCGACGTTGTGGCTGCCAAGTGTATACGCAAACGACGCAGAGGCAAGAGCTGTCGTGAGGAAATCCTGCGCGAGCTTGTCATGTTGGAAATGGCACTGGAACACCCAAGACTGGTCGACCTCAAAGAAGTGTTTGAAACTCCAAGTGAACTCATCCTCATCACGGAGTAGTAAGTTCACTACAGTATACCGCTGTTATAAGTTTCACCCTTTACCCATCATACAAATTGTTGCCCAGTGTTAATTTTGCGCTTCAAATTTAATTACTTTGTCTATTTTGTTGTTACAGTAAACATCCAGTCAGATCGAAAAAACTTTTTTTTCCAGTTGTTCTGGTGGTGAGCTGTTCACCGAGTGTGTGATCGAGGAGTCGTTCAGTGAGATGGATGTTGTAAACATGATGGTTCAGATCCTGGAGGGGCTGATCTACCTTCACGAGAGAAACATTGTCCATCTTGACCTTAAGGTAATGTCCCTCCACCCCTACCCTATAATGGTATTTACAGGCCCGAATATATCACCTTGATATATATATCTCATACCATCTGTGTTATGTATCTAGTGGTTTAGCTGCATGAGTTTTCTGTTTTCATTTGAGTGAATGTTTTTGAACAACTCCCCCCCCC